CCCTTGCCCATAGCCATCTCCCTCTCCAAGAACAGAAGCGTTTGATGTCTCTGTGTGTGGATTTCTCACCCCGTGTCCCTTCTGGGGTCACGATCCCGGGGGAGCTCCGGCCCTCACCCAGGTGGAGGAGACCTCCGTCCCGGGGTCCTCGAAGACGCGTGGCCTGAGCCACAACGCAGCTCTGCCGCGTGGACACTCAAGGCTGCTGAAGCAGAGCTCACCCTGGGCTCGTACGACTGGAAGACCCCCGAGCCCACAGCACCAGGGGGCTGGGCTCCCCCCCTCAACTGGGGCTGGTGGGGTCTGGCAGCCCCCAGTGCTCCCGGGAGCGCAGCTTGGCCTGTGCCTCCCTTCTCAAAACCGGGGGCTCCGGTGCTGTCTGTGGCCTGTGGACACTAGAGGGCACTGGGCTCCCATCCTGGGAGCAGGATTAGGCCCGGGGCTGCAGGGTTGGTGGGGGGCAAGGTGCTGGGGGGGGACACACACAGCTCCCCAACATGGGAGCTGCCAGGTTGCGGCCAGAGCAAGGACAAGGACAAGGACACCAAGCACCCAGGCAGAGCTGGCCCAGACGAGGAGGGCCGTATCTTACACACGTACATAAATACAGTTCGGAGGGGGAAGCTGGTGGGGAGGGGGCTCTGCCGCTCTCTGGAGGGTCCCGCACCAGTTGTGTCCGTGGGGTCCTTCGTGAGCCACGTACGGGGCTCCCCAGGAGGGAGGCGAGGTGGTTCCCCCCTGTGATGGAGGGGATGGTGGGCATCCTTCACACCAGCAGAGGGGTGTTTGGGGTGTGGTGTGTGTGGGGATGCTGGCAGGGTGTCCCCGTCCTGCCCTGTGGCACTTCTGGGTGTGAGGCCCGCACGCCTCTCCCTCAGAGCACCTGTATGTCCCAAATCTGCGTGGGTCTTTCCTCTGCCATGTCCCAAACGATGGCATGGTCCCGGTCGTAGGATCGGCCTCCTGCAGAGCGAGGGGAGGGTTTCAGGAGGGCAGGCTGCTCTCTTGACGGTGATGAAGGGGTGGGGGCCCCACCTCACGGCCAAACACCCCGTTTTTGGGGGTCCCTGGGAAAGCAGCCCCTGTGCCATCGCCGAGGCCTCACCCTTTATATCGAGGATCATGTCCTCGAACATCTGGCTGTGGATCCGTCCCTGAGAATCAATGCTCCAGGTCTGACGCGGCATCCGAGTCTCGGACCACAGCACGGCCTTCGCACCCTTCCCGGCTGGCCCGATGACGCCAAACACCCCGTTTTTGGGGGTCCCTGGGAAAGCAGCCCCTGTGCCATCGCCGAGGCCTCACCCTTTATATCGAGGATCATGTCCTCGAACATCTGGCTGTGGATCCGTCCCTGAGAATCAATGCTCCAGGTCTGACGCGGCATCCGAGTCTCGGACCACAGCACGGCCTTCGCACCCTTCCCGGCTGGCCCGATGACCTGCAGACTCATGTTGGGGGCCACCTGCAAGGAGCAGCAGTGGCCAAGTCAGCCCAGTCCTCTCCATCGCCTCTGCCCAGCACAAAGGCTGGGAGCTCAGAGGGATTTCCCTGTAAATGCAGCTGGCTCTGGGGTGGGACATGGGATGAGCAGGAAGACCCCTCAGTGAGAGGTGAGGATGATTAGGGTGACAAAAACTCCTCAGGGAAAGCAGAGATGCCTTCATGTCTCCAGGGGAGACTTGAGGAGAGAATCAACCGATCTGTGGGGACAAGGCTGAGGTCAGATGCTGGGAAAAGCTGTTATGAACCCTACAAGGGACTGTGGGGTTGGGAGCGCCCCAGCAGGAGTCCTGCCAGGGGCTCCCCCGGTCCCCTCCACGGCGCTGGCTGTCACAGATGAGCCCTGACCTGGTTTTTGATCAGCCCATCCTCGTAGTACCAGACAGAGCTGCTCTGCTCGCTCAGGCTGGAGACCACCACCCGCCCCGCTTTCATGTCCTCCACGTCATCAGGGACCGAGAGGTAGAGCTCCAGCTCCCTGCTCCTGATGCGGAAATAGATCCGTCTCTGAAAAGAGAGAAACCTTTTTTTGCACCAAAAAAGCCCTGCTGCCTGCACCTCCGGCCCCACGCACCTCAGCCGGCTTGTGGCTTTGGGAAGGGAGGACCCTGGTCCCCTGGGGTGGCTGCCTGGAGGGTCCTCCTCATCCCCCCCAGGAGGTCCCTGCCTCTCCCTAGGGCAACGGCTGTGGCCCTGGCCTGTCTCTCATAGCTGACACGGGCACGGCTCTCGATGCAGGGGTGTTTTGCAAGGTGCTTGCCCACAGGGAGCATTTCGCCACCAAGGCAGCCACTCCCAGGGCGGGGGACAGGGATCTGGGGGTGACGGTGCTGGGCTGGTGGCACCTTTCCTGGGCCAGAGCCGTCAGCAGCGTGCTGCTGCTCTGCAGGCCGTGCCCCGCTGCCTTCCCCAGCTCACCCGGAGCCGTTACCACATCCTCCTCCCGGCCATCGGGACTGACCGCTCTTTAGCTCCATGTGAGCTGCCTGCCCCGGCGTTTTGGGGTTCACCCTGCTGGGTGCCAGCACCCCATCCCCTCCTGCAGGGCAGCGCTCACCTGCCGGATGGGGTAGAGGGATCCCACGTGTTGGAGCCCGCTGTACGTCAGCCAGTTGGTGATTTCGGTGCAGTCCAGGAGCCACTGGCGTCCTCGGAAGTCACCATGTTCACACAGCACCCAGCTGCGGGGGACAGGATGGGATGGCATGGCATAGACTGGCATGGCATGGGATG